AACTCAAAGTAACTTCTGCACTTCATCTATGTTTTTAGATCCTCAAAAAACAGGAGAGGAATTACAACATGACTGTTTACAAACCATTGAACAAGGTTACTCCCAACAGAGAGGATTTAAAGAATGTTCCCATAACAAATCCAGATACTCTGGTAACTCAGAGGTTGTAAAAGCTTCCCCCTTGCCTGCTTCTGTACAGACGGCTGAACTTATTGTTTTACGGAAGGCATTGGAATTGTCAGAAGGAAAAATAAAATAGCAAAAGCTGACAAAAGGCATCTTGGTAATAACTCCTACAAAATAATAAATTACCACCTCCAGGAATTACAAAGAAAGGAAATTGTTGAGGACACTACTGGCAAATAGATTTCTTTGTATTGCCTCGACAAGAGGAGTATAGTATTTACTGGTGTTAGTGGATACCATTTCTGGTTGGCCTGAAGCTTTCCCCTGTCACACCTGTAGGAGCTGCGCGGGGTCGCACGGTTGGGATGGACGGAGACGAGATCTCTTTGAAGCCAAGTCGTATAACTTGCAGTTTATTGCAAAGGGCGTGGGTGAAGGGCCCTGCTGCGAGCTGCCAGCCGCAGCTCGGAACAGGCCCGAGAGAAGAGAGGCTTAAAGTGTAAGAGAGTTAAAGGCAAAGGTTTGAGAGCGGAGAGCATGTAGAAAGGAGGGGGTGAAGAAGTGCAGAGGAGAAGACAAAGAGACAAAGAGAGAAAAGGGCGCGAAGAAGAGCGCGAGAGCGAGACAAAGCTAAGAGAGATAAGAGAGAAGAGAGATAAGAGAGCGCGAAAAGAGAGCGAAGTTCCCGTTACAATACAATAAATCATCTTCAGTGTTGAATATTCAGATTCTCATTAGCCAATCTACTACAGCATGCATATCCTATAACATTTCCATACAACCTATAAGAATCACTACATTACCATACTATGTTTACATTTTAAACCCTAAATCTTACTCTTTGGGCCCTATCTGCCAAGCTGCAGGGTCTGCTCTGACTCTTAGGCCTGCCTCCTTGCAGAGGGAGTTGTTTCCTCCAGGGGGGATTACATTCAGCTGGTCACATCATTGTTTTATTCAGCAACTAAGGGATCTCAAAGCTTGCTTTCATTTCAATTTCGCTTATAGTTTCTATATTCTCAAAATCTTTTGCCAGGCAGTCATATTTATAAGGCTTTCTTGTTTCATCCTCCCCAACAACACCAACAAAGCTAAAGAGGTAACTAAAATATTGTTAAAAGAAATAATACCCAGATTTGGGGTCTCATTAGGAATGTCATCAGACAGAGGACTCCAGTTTGAAGCCGAAATTGTACAAACTTTGCCCAAAACATTAAGAATAAGGTGGGACATGCATATTCCATGGAGACCATAATCTAGTGGGAATGAATCAGAGCATAAAGAGGCAAATGAGTAAAATTTGTCAGGAAGCATCACTTAAGTGGCCACAGGCTCTTTCCCTGGCATTGCTGAGAATTAGAATTCATCCAAGCTCTAAGGAAAAGGTAAGTCCATATGAAATACTCTATGGGAGATCATATCAGGCTGTGATTATACCCAGGAAAGTCACATAACAGGGAACCACAATTTGTGGGAGTATGTAATATCTTTGGGAAGAAAACCTCTCATCTTTGCATAGGTTTACTGTTTTAGGATCACCTGTTACCTTGGATGTCCAAGTGCATCCCTTTCAACCAGGAGATTGGGTATATCTTCTAACCTGGAATGATGAATCTTTAAAGGAAAGCTGGAAAGAACCATTTCAAGGTTTGTTAACCACCCATACAGCAGCCAAGCTTGTCAGAATCTGTACATAGATTCATTACAGCAGACTTGAAGCAGCACCAAAGCCTGAATGGAAAGTAAATCAACTGGACCTCTACAATTAAAGTCAATTAAGATCCCACGTGAACTGTACATGGGAGGACTTTGTGAGTCATTGGGAAATAACATGTTGTGTTGGTTTTGCACAGCTTGGTTTTTGGTAGCAGAGGGGTCACACAGGTTGCTTCTGTGAGAAGCTGCTAGAAGCTTCCCCCATGTCCAGCAAAGTCAGTCCCTGATGGCTCTGAGGATGGACATTCCGCTGGCCCAGGCTGGGCCAGTTAGAGATGATGGTAATGCCTCTGTGATGACATATTTAAGAAGAAAATCAAAACAAAGTGGGGCACAGGTTATTTTCCTAGCTGAAGAAGAGGAGGTGAGAACATGTGAGGGAAAAAACATGGAGACACCAAGGTCAGTGAAGAAGGAGGGGAAGGAGGTGCTCCATGAGCTGGAGCCAAGATTCCTCTGTAGGCTGTGGTGATGACCATGGTGAAGCAGCTGTCCCCCTGCAGCCCATGGAGGTCCATGGGGGATGCAGAGATTCACCCGCAGCCTGTGAGGGAGTTGTTTATGCCAGAGCAGATGGATGCCTGGAGGAGGCTGTGATCCAGTGGGAGACCTGGTGGAGAGAGGAGGCCCTTGCTTCCAGGCTGGACCAGCCTGTCCTTGGAGGACTGCATCCTGTGGAAGAGTGACCCACGCCGCAGCAGTTTAGGGAGGACTGTTTGCCCATGGGAGGGATTCATGTTGCAGTAGATTTGGGAGGACTACTGCTTGTGAGATTGGAACCACATTGGAAAAGTTTGTGGAGAAGTCTCTTCTGTAGGAAGGGACCCCACGGTCTCACAGGGGAAGGACTTCTCTCCCAGAGCCGCAGAAGATCTCAGGTGATGAACTGACCAAAACCCCCATGCCCTGTCTCCCTGTGCTGTTGGTGGCCAGGAGGGAGGGGTTGGGGGGGAAAAGATGGTTTTGAGGGCTTATTTTACTTCTCGTTATCCTCCTCTGACTCTGTTAGTAATAACTTCACTATGGACTTCTAAGTTGAGTCTGTTTTGCCCTTGGAGTGTTTTCACACAGTCCTTATCTCAACTCATGAACCCTTTGTTTGATTTTTTCTCTGCTCAGCTGTGTCACGGGAGGGTGGGCAAGCAGCTTTCGTGGGTGCCTGGCGTTTGGTCATTATCAAACACAACACGTGTGAATGGAGTTATTTTACAGTGGTGTTTGCATTTCCATTTGGATTAAATTTTGTATATTTCTATTCAAAGCAGTATGAAGTTTTAACTCTCATTTATCTTGTTAAATGGACTAAGTTTAACAATCCCACTGAGATCAGTTCTGGGAAACTAATAGAGCTTCAGTCTCCACCTGAAATTGATGTAGGAAGTAACAAAGAGCTAATCTGAGTGATTGTTGGATATGTGCTCATATGCCTGAACATTCAGGAAAAGGAATACATTTAATTGGAGTTCCAATCCCCACTGATATAAAATGGGCAACATTGTGGGTAAGTACCTCATTTAATATAGATCAAGAAGAAAAAGATCAGGAGTGAGATCTGAAGACATTACCTTACCCTAGCACATGTATAAACAGATGTAATCCCCCAAAAAGGACTAGACAAAGTAGATTGTGTCAACATTACTTTTGTAGAAAACCATATGAACTGTAGTGTGACCAGATTTTCTTAAAAGCAAACAAGAAATTATGTTTTCATGAGAACTTCATGCTGCACTTTTAGATAAAGGCAAGGGAATGCAAGTGGCATAATCACCAGTATCAAGTTTAAGCTGATTGTGGGCTCCTCTGTTACCATGAGCTGGTCGAGTTTATCCTGTGGCCAAGGGATTGGTGCAGCACTGAACAGGCCTGGGCCTGCTCAGGTTAACTGTTATGTGAAAAGGCTTTACCTCAGAACTGGAAGGGTTTTGGGAAAATCTTTAATTGTAAGAAATAGTGTTTAAGTCTTGTGAATTAATTTAGCTTTAACCGACAGTGCTTAGTCCTGTATTAATGTGTGCAAGTGGTTATCTTAGCCCTAATGACTGTGGGCCTGAGCAACACTGATAAGAAGGTGTATCTTAGCCAGACCACATCACTGGGATGCATTCAAAGAGAACAAACTCTTTTTGGAGGCTTGTGACCAAAAAAGGATAATTTGAGGAATGGGATGTTCCCCATATGACCACCAGAGACCCTCAAAAGACCCCTACTCTAATGTAAATAAAATCTGAGAAGTGATTTAAATATGCAAAAGAATTTACAAGGATGTTTAGCATATATGTGTGAGTTTCAAGAAATATACTGAATATGTATAAGTTACATAGATTTAAACCAGTTTGTTAGTGAGCTGTGGTGCATGGGTTAGGTGGAAATATCCCCCTCATGCCTGGCATTGTAAATAAAAGTGATGCTGCATTCTAATACTGAAATTACAGTGTTAGAGTTTTATTCCTGATTTTTGGTGACAAGGGTATTTGCACTTTAGGAGCCATAATCCCAAATATTACAGTTACCAAGAATTTGAAGGCTGATCTAAAATAAACCAAAAGAATTAGCAATCCTTTTATATAGAGATCGACAACTTTCCATTCCTTTGCCAGATGGTTTATCCCCTGGTTAGGAGTTAGTGAATTGGAAAAAGCAATTGTGAATATTTCATCATTAATCAAAATAATTTGAAATCAAACTGCAAGTGTTCTGTGGAAAATAAAAAAGAAGTATCAGCAATTGGAAAGATATCAACTGAGAACCAAATTAGTGTTTTGCCTGTGATGGTAAGTGCTGAGTGATCTCCCTGTCCTTATCTCAACCCATGAGCCTTTTGTCGTCTTTTTCTCCCCTTTATTCTGCTGAGGAGGGGAAGGGATAAGGCAGCTTGGCTGGCCCTCTGATGTCTAGCCAAGGTAAACTCATCAAAGCAATATGTTAAATTAAAACATCGGCACTCTTTATAAGTGAGGGTCAGCTTTTCAAATGTGGATTGGCTGTGTCTTGATCAAATTAAAATAAAATGCCGAGCTACTTGAAACGATTTTTAAATTTTAATGTGTTGCCTCTTTATTTTATTTGTATTTTGGCACTGCCTCAGCCCCTTCTCTGGGCCCGGCTCATAGTGGGCGTGGCCTGGTATTGTTCCTCAGGCGCTGGGATATGGCGTAACCATGGGCAGTAAGATGGCAGCTGCCGCTAGAGTCGTACAGGTAGCGGTGCGCGGCCTGTGGACCGGGAGGCGGCTGAGGCGGCTGGGGCCCGGAGCCTGGGGCCTGGGGCCAGGAACCTGGAACCTGGTGCGGGTGGCAGGCCTCGCTTTGCGCGCGGCCGCCGGGGCCTGAGGTGGTCGATGCCCGAGGCACCGCTGGAGAGGCCTGGTGTCCTTGGCGCGGGGGGAAGAAGCATGCGGCGGGGCCGGCCCCGTGGCGCCGGTCATTAGATTCCTGTGCCTGGTTCTGGTACCAAAGGATGTTACTGAGCAGTCTGCAGGCTGCCCCTTTTCGGTCGCTCTTCAAGAGGGGAGTGGGCTAATCAGTATCTCGTTTCTAAGCCATCCTTCTTCCCTTCAAAGGTGAAACATAGTCTTATTGAAAAGACATATTTAAAAAATAAGCTCAGCGGCTTTAAATACTAGATGTTATAATTTATAGGGGTTTTTTTCTTAATGGAACTAGTCCATCCCAGCCAGACAGCTGAACAAATATGTACAGGTAAAGAGCACTGCTAGCAATTTCACATGCTAAAACTTCATAATTCCATTTTTGTTACTGTAGTAGCTATTTCTGCATACACAATGATTACTGCGAGAAAAGAAAGAGAATGCTTATTCCTGTTCTGAACACTAGGGTAGGGTAGTGCCTTTAAAGGTGAAATTTCTCCTTGGGTAAAAATTAAATTCAAGTAGTAATTTTATCACAGTGCTGGTGCGCAAAGCAGCAGTATAGAAGTGGTTGTTTAATTTGTTGTGTGTTCCATTTTATTAAAGTTAATATTTGTCTATAAATATGTTTTATTCTCCCTATTTCTCCTACTACGTTGTCTTGTTCTAGGTAGTCAAGCCACATACTCCCTTAATAAAATTCCCAGACAGAAAAAGTAGTCCCAGACCTAAAAGTAAGTATTTCATCTATAGATACAACTTATGCCATATATGCCATATTTCTTTGCATAAACTGTTGTATATAAGAATCCACGCAATTTTTCTGCTTTGACTATGCAACTCAACTGATTTTGAGCAGGGTTTCTGAATCATTGCTTTAGTTAGAAGGCTTCCTTTTCAGACTATACAACTGTGGGAATATAAATAATACATGCATGCCTTTATTTTTTGGTCAAGGCAGAATCACAAGGATTTCTAGTGATGTTTTTCTTCTTAAATAAGAAGTCACATTTTCGAAAATACAAATATTTGTCTGAAGTGATAGTATCCAAATGAATTTGAAACAGCCTTAGGTATTAGGTGATCTTTGCCGAAAATGATGTTGCATTTTCCTCATCCTTTGTTTTCCTAATCGGAGTGTGTGATGTTGGTGGTATTTAAAACCCTGATTTATGGCTAAGAGCCATTCCACTGTACATTTTAAGAAGTGTTTCTTTGTGCTAATAATTAATGCTGAGAAAAAATTAACTTCATTGCAATGTTTGACATTATTTTTACACCTATAGCTACGTTCATATTTATAGGAACCTCAATACTGTTACATTTAGAACATCAAAGTTAATGAGCTAGATGTTGTTTTAATATTCCTTTTGAGTCAATAAAGCATTTGAAACTAAAGTAGTAATTTTAAGAAGCTCTGTTGTTATTCTCACTTGTTTAGAAATGATACCATACTATGTATTTGCCACAGCATTATATTTAGAATTTAAGTTTAGTTTATCCATTAACACTGCAAAGTATCTACAATGAACATCAGTGCCACTTCTGACTTACCTGTGAATTCTTCAGGAACTATATTCTGCGATAACTTTCAGTCAGAATTTTGTATGTTGTGCCCAGTTCAGCCATTTGCACCACCTTTCATGCCAGCGAATTGCTTTCTCAAAGGCTTAAAAACATGTTACTTAGCTTATGCTTATCTTTGCATCACAAGATTTTTGTGGCTATATATTTTAAGTATGTTAGACCTTTGTACATTAATTAATTTCTGCTGCTTCACTAGTGAATTGCAATCTACTTCACTTTGCTTGAATGCTATAGCAATAACTGTTTCACCATACCAGAATGTTGCTTCTACATAGTTACACACAGCTCTGCAGATCAAAACTATACTTTTAGGGATGTGAGTGCTTTAAAGGTCAACCAAATTCTATTATCATATTACTACTGCAACATGATGGTCTCAAACAGGGAAGGGAAAACTGTAGTAAGGACTGTATCTGAGCTTAAGCAACAGCAGTATTAGGTCAGGTATTTTTTAATCTTGACTTTGGGTTTTGGATTTGCTAATGCTTCTATTGCAAATACACTTCAGACTTTAAAAAATACAATAGAAGGAAATCTCAGGCAAATTTCTAAGTATTTATTTAGTATATAAAACAAATTTAGAGAAACTTTTTTTTAATATATAAGGTATGTTACTTCTTAAAAATACTTTGTAGTCATTACTAGCCAAAGCTATTATCATCTCTGTGTTGTTTTCTTTTGTTTTCATCCTCTGTTCCTTTTGCCTTTTGCTCTTAAATTTTAAAATTTCAGTTTAATGGCATGCTCCCTGTTCGGATTCTGCTCCTTTTGATGCGTTCTCTGCCTCCTTGCTCTGTTTGCGACCTTACTTTCTTGATACCATTTTGGAATATTAAAAATGGGTATAGCATTCTTTTACATTTTGTGGTATGCCATAGTTGTGAGCTTTTTCTTTCTCTAAGCCTCCACCTCCTTTTCAGTTGTTTGTCTTTACAGTTGCAGTAAAAAAAAGCATCATCTTAGTTGGATGTTAGTTATTTATCTTTCTACATAGTCCCCTCCACACACACATTTGATACTTCATGCTGCTTCTGCAAGTACAGCTTCCCAGTAAAAAAGCCTTTGTTAGGATCTATGTCGATTTATCTTCTGTTTCCACATCCGTATTTCTGCCACTCAAATATGCTTTCTTTTACTTTCAGAATTTTTTCACCATGTTCTTGGTATGTTTAACAACAGTAAAAACAGCTTGTGAGAACTAGAATATCTTTAAATTATTTTAATTCTTTTGAGTATGTTTTATAATGAACATTGTCAATAACTGGTAACTTTTATTGGCTGCTCACTAATTAATTTTACAGTCTTGTTATATTTCTGTAATGGTTTTGCAATCTGGATTTCAGTACTGGAATCTCTACAAGCAAGTATGCCATCTCTTGGTGCTTCAAAAGCACAGGAGTCTGTAGGAGGCAGATCACCAGGATTTCAAAATATTTCACCGGTTAGTAGAGTACAAGGTATACCAGACACTTCTGAATCAACAAGAACCTTACCTCAGAAATACAGACGAAAACTAATGTCAGATGAAGAGATTGAATATATTCAAGTAAGTTTCATTTATTGTCTGTATTTGCCTAGTATTTATCTTATTTCTACACCTCTTTCCAAGTTTAAAATACGATATTACATTGTAATTCTTGGCAAATGTATACTCGGAGTTTTCACCGCTTTGATGCACAGTACCCAAACTACAAAATCTTAATACAAAAGGTACCCAACGCTCACTAATTAGTAGCTTGTGGTGTCACTAATTAGAGAGATACAGCCATGCAGACAGCTTGTGATAGTCATAGCCTACATTAATCACAGTCACTACCTCTTGTGTAACAGCTGTTTAACATGTAATTTGAATATGCTGTACAGGAGCACAAGAGTGTTCTTAGACCAGGAAAGGCTATTACGAGGCGACTGAAGTCTAAGATATTCCTCGAGCTAGTATAAGTTATGTATTAGTAAGTTACTGCTTGTATTTCTAGTAGTAGAAACATTTGGTTAAACTTTATATAAATATTTTCTGCAATATTTGCAAATATGCCATTGTACATAAAAGGCAAGAAAAACCTGCTTTTGTTCTGTAACAATTTTCAGTTGTAAACACTGATGCTTAAAAAGAGAGAATGCACAAAATATGAAGAACTGGAGAGACGGGTGTGAGTTTGAAATGAAAAGACACATAGCTTTGTTAAATTATAAGGACAGCTACAGTGTGATCATATTAATAGAGGAAATCAGTTTTCCTTCATGAATATCAGTATGGTATTATAATTAGAAATAAAATTAATCATTTTGCATTGTAATATGCTCCTTGACCTCTCGCATAAATTTTGTAATGGTGAGGTAAATTGTAAAATAATTTCATTAGCAAAATAAGGAATTGAGTACCTTTCTGATTTCTCATAAAGATTGTAATGGCTGACCTTGGATTTGTTTTTGCTTTGGAATTTGGGCAGTGAAAATAATTCTAAAACTTCTGTTTACTAGTGCTGTGTTTATCAGACCTTTTTAAAGTGAGTAAGAGACATTTTTCTTCAGAGTGGGAGCTAAAATTATAGGTTGCAGGTATTGATCTTTTTGTATTTTCCCCTGAAAAAGTGGAGTTCTTATGGGTAAATGCTGATACTTTGACATTCTGTGTATGTTCCAATACAGGTTAAAAATCAATGTCTAAATCACAAATTAAAACTAAAACTCTATTTGTTAATCTAGAACATTGAAAAAGATTTCATCTCCATTTTCCATTCTTTTAGTGGAATACATTTAACTATATGCTTTTATTTTACAGCGTGGAGGTCCAGAATAAATATGGAAAATTATTTGCCACTGTTGAAGAATGAAATATTACATTCACAATAAAAGCATTTCCTTAGTATTACGATTGTGATGCTGGTTTAGGTTTTGCCTTTTTTTTCTATGTGGCGCGGGCTCGTGGAGCACGTGGCAATGGCAGCTCGGTCGAGACGGAAAGGGATGGAAGAGAGGCTTTGCTTCATAAACCCTTGGGGCAGCCAATCCCAGTGCCCTTAACAGGACTCTCGGAAACAGCAGGCTGGAACGGCAGGGGTGAGCAGAAATCCCGGGACGGTGGTTGAGAATGTATCAACTCTCCACAGCAATAGGTGGAACCTGCGGGATGTCCTGGTAGGGCAGGGGAATGCGGGGCCCAGCAGCAGAAGAAAGGTTCCCTGCTGGGTTATGGTGGTGGCAGCGAACTCCTTTCCCCAAGCCGCAGGTCCAACTGTCCTCCTACGAAGTCCAGCAGCGAGAGCAAGGCTGCCCCAACCCCATCTCTTTTTTACCTGCCCCCATTCTCACAGTATCTCTGCCCCCCTACCCAAGGGAAACTCCCAAAAACCAAAGGCTTCCCTCTCCTTCTCCGTCTCAAGCACCCAGCCATCAGTGCTTCTTAGCATCTCAGTGGGAAGAAATCCCATAGGTAATAAGGAAAGAACAGAAAAAACCCAACCCCTAACAACTGGCTGAGATTGTTCATTGGTAGAGAAAAGCAAATTACAATGAGGAAGTTTCTTTTGTGTTTAACATGGGCGGGTTGAAAGTTGGCCTGGGGATGCCTGGGCACAGAGCAGCCGGGAAGGGTGGGCTCGTGCCATTGCAGAGGAGGGGAGAAGCGCTCCCACTTCCTATGTTCCATCTGTGGAAAGTTTTTTCCAAGATTTTAGGGCAGAGGCGGCTCGGACTCCTGGGACAGATCTGCGAGCAGGGAGGCCACGCCCCCCGTGACGGATGGCGGGGAACGGCCGCTCTAAGAGGAGCCGACGTGACACCTGCCATTGCCCTGAGAATGGCCGGGAGATGGGGTGAGGGAACGGTCCCGGGACCCAGGGCCGCCGTTGCGCCGCTTGGCCCCTGCTCCGGCAGGGGGGGTGGCCGCTGCTGCGCAGCCACAGCCTGGCTCGCCCCCCACCCCTGGGCCTCACCCGTGCTGGCCCGTAGGGGACCAGGAGTGTGAAATGTATGGGCGGGAGTGTCACCACCATGGGCGGCACCAATTTTGCTGCTGCGAGGGGCAGGGAAAAGGCGGAGTTGAGTCCCTCAAGGAAGCTGATGTCACCTTTGTAGGCAGGAACGACTCAATTGCAGTTTCCATAGTAACGAGTTTTGTTTTAGAGAGACACGAGAACCGCTGTGAGCATTGACACAGCCCGAACATGGGAGTGCCCCTGGGCAGGTGTGCCCGCATCGCGCGTCTGTCCCAAGGCCGTGTGGCGGGCATCGAGCGCTCTTTGTCTGTGCTGTTAAGCACTCAAAAGGGAAATGCTGGGTCCAAAGAAAAAGAAATTGTTTTTCAGGATTCCTTAAAACAGGCTATAAGTATACAGAGTCCTGTGTTAACAAATACCTTAGAATGGAAACTGAGCCTAGATACTATAAGGGCTGTTAGTGCCAGAGGGGTAAGAGAAATGAGACCTTTCGTCCAACCTTTAAAAACTAATTAGAAAAATGCTCGGTGATTTATCAGTTTCTCTATTTGCCAAACTCTCCTAAGAAAGATCTATTGGAATTTTGCAAAAGAAAGAAAGTAACGGATAGTTTAGGATGGTTTACTGAATTAAATTTTAAAAGTACCTTCTCCTGCATCCCTGAGAACAAGAAAAGCCAAGTACTTATTGCTATTACGTGGAAAAATCCTGAAACAGGGAAAAAGAGCCAGCTCACCAAGACAGTCCTGCCTGACGGTTTCAGGCACAGCCCAACTATATTCAGAAATCAGCTGGCAAAGAAACTGGAGAACTGGAAAAGTCAGCAACTGAGAATTGCTGCATCCAACCAGCAGCCAAGAATTGCTACATCCAACAGTTGCATGCAACTCGCTGTAAGTTTGTTCCATGAACATTGGCAACATGTACCTTATGTTACTGAAACAGGGTAATGTTATTCTGAAAATGTTTGCTATTAATCCTGGTATGTCTCTGTTCCCAACACTAACTGATAACGTATCTGAGTATGACTGTTTACAGACCATGGAAGAAGCCTATTCCAGCAGACCAGACCTGAAGAATGTGCCAGACTGGGAACTGTATGCAGACAAGAGCAGCTTCATGTGAGATGGCAAACAGATGACAGGGTATGCAGTGACAATCATGAAGCAGGTAACCAGGGAAAAGGCCTTGCCATCACTAAAGGCTGAAATAATTACATCATTGAAAGATCTAGAACCGAGCAAAGTTATCTGGAAGGAAAGAGGACTGGCAACTATTCAAGGTAATGGAATTGAACACACTGAACAGACCCATGCACTGCTACAGAGTATTTGGGAATGTAGAGAAGCAGCTTTTATGCATTGCAAAGCTCAGTGAAACAGGAAAAATACTCCTGAATTAAAGAATTGTTTTCCTGGCGAAATAGTAAAAGGGGCTGCAAAAAAAAACATGTTAGGAGTGGTGCCACAAAAGGAAATCAAGTTGTCAAGGTTTGGCCCAAAGTGTGATCAAAAGAACCATCCATTTTCTAGCACAAAGGCTGAAATCAAGGAAAGTGAATGGACTATTACACCAGAAACAACCCAAACATGGGCAAAAGAGATGTACTAGAAATAACAGAGGCAGGAGATTTTCCTGGAGATTATTGGCAAATAGATTCTGCTGAGTTACCAAGCTAAGAAAGAAACAGGAATGTATTGGTGTTAGTTGACACCTTTAGCGGATGGTCTAAAGCTTACCCCTGTCACACTAACACAAGGAAGAGAGGTGGTAGAAGTTTCACCCAATCATATAATTCTAAAGGTTTGGGGTTCCTTTGAGGTTGGTCCCCAGTAATCAGGCAACTTAGTCAAAGGTTGGGAAATGTTTGGGATCTGTAAATTCCCTGTATACCCCAGATGAGTGGTAAGGCTGAATGTGTGAATTGAACCCTCAGAATGCAGATTAGTAAAATTTGTCCGAAACATCCATGACATTGGTACAGGCCTTGCCTATAGACTTGCTGAGAATCTGCATGCAACCAAGGCACAGAGACAACATGAGTCCTTATGAAATATTGCAAAGCAGGCCATATCATATTATGTCTATTAAGGGAGAAATTCATGATGGAGAAAATTGACTTGCAAAAGTATTTAACAACTTTCAAGTTCCACTTTGCAGAAGGTCCAGAGATTCGTCATGTTATCCAGACATACCTGCCCATCTGTCCCACCCTGGAGACTGGGTTTGCACTAAATGCAGAAACAGTGACCTTACAAGTTAAGTGGAAAGGACCATTCCAAATCCTGACTACCCTTACCAAAACCAGAGGTGCTGGCAGAGAACCCTGGATTCAGTGCTCCAGAGTTAAGACCTCTGCTCCTGAAACAACTGGAAAACACACACTGATACGAATTAGGATTATGTGATTTAAATTGTTCTTTTGTCCCTGTTTGTGGGAACTTGTCCTGTAGGGGCCGGGCCAGAGACTGGCCACGCAGACATACCACAGACAACCAACACCAAGCCTTAAAAGAAAAGAAGCCACAACTGATGACATCTAAGCAGCTTATGGTGAGGAGCAAAGGACTCGCAAAGGACTCTGGGACTAATTGGGAGTGGCCATTGTTCTGGTTTGAAAGCAAAACCAGTGAGAGACTCCAAGTCAGAAATACAATTTATTAGGAAAAGGGAAAAGAAAACCAAAATACATGCAATAATACAAAAGAAAAACCACTGACAAAGTTGGAGTACAACCTGACAACCTGTTGGTCAGGGTATTGGTAGCAGTCCAGTTGGATTGGTGGGTGCAGTCCTCCTGGAGTGGCAGATGTGGTTCTGTTGGAGCAGGGATCCTGTAGAATGGGTGTAGTCTTCCTCTGAAGTGGAAGTGGAAAAGACAGCTGTTCCTCTGGGAATCCAGTGGAAAGACTGCTTGTTGTGTCCCAAAACCCCAGATTATATCCAGGTGGGGATGCTTAGCTCCTCCCCCTTGGGCGGAACATCTCACAATGGGCTGTTACCATTCTATGAGTCATGTGATGGGTCCATTAAACAGAAATGGCTCCCTGAGGGAATTATCTCTGAGTCATCTGGAAAGGCATTGATGGGCCCATTAACAGGAGATAAGGAAAAAACAATGCCCCTCCTGGTTTCAACAGCTCTTGAGGATGGGAATAGAATACATCTTTATATTGTAACCTAGGACACAAGGTTGAAAACAAGTCTTCGAGACACATTTTCATGGACAAAGTACAGCTAGTGCCAAGGGCAGGGGAGGTTCCAGACAAGGGGCTTGACCTGGAAGGGAATTGCATCACTACTTGTCCTCTTAACTGGTGCTTTTTATCAATTACGCTAATTTCCTAAAATCTATAAAAATGTACTTACCCCTATGGGGGTGGGCTTTTGTGGGCTTCTTTCCATAACTGCTCCTGAAGGCCTTCAAATAAAGATCCACTTCTATATTACCTCCTTACTAAAATTATCTTGAATTTCAGTTCCAGGTTGGGAAAAAGTCCACACAGGGGAAACCCCGGGGTCCTTGAGCCCCTTTCCCCTCCCGGGTAGCCTCTCCCTGCCACGTTCAGGAGCCCGGTTGCCACTGCCCAGCCCCCACCTTTCTTCTGCCACCGATCTGGGTTTTTGCTACACTGTAGCTCTGCATCCCCTGCCTGCTGGGATGCCCCCTGGTTCCAGCTCCAGTTGCAGAGTTTCTACTGCCTCTTGCTTACTGCCCCGGGTGAGCCCACCCTGCTGTTCTAGCTTGCTGTTTTCAATGTCCCTGCTACAGCTCCTTTTGCTGTCCAGAGGGGGGCACTGGGATTGTCTGCCCCTGGGGGTTTGTACAGGAAGCCCCTTTTCCATCCCTTCTGCCGAGCCT